ATAACCATACATACATAACCATACATACATAACCATACATACATAACCATACATACATAACCATACATACATAACCATACATTACCATACATTACCATACATTACATTACATTACCATACATTACATTACATTACGACACATTACATTACATTACCATACATTACATTACATTATCATACATTACCATACATTACCATACATTACCATACATTACCATGCATTACCATACATTACCATACATTACCATACATTACCTTACATTACATTACCTTTACCTTACTTTACATTACATTAAATTAAATACCATTACAGTACAGTACATTCCATTACATTACATTACATTACATACCATTACACTACATTACATTACATACCATTACATACCATTACACTACCATTACATACCATTACATTACATTACATACCATTACATTACATTACATACCATTACATTACATTACATTACATTGCATTACATTACATACATACATACATACATTCATTACATACATTACATTACATACATTACATACATACAGATACACATTACATACATACACATACATACAGTTACACATTACATACATACACATACATACAGATACACATTACATACATACACAGATACACATACATACTACATACATACACATACATACACATACATACACATACATACCAATACATACCATTACATACCAATACATACCATTACATACCATTACATACCAATACATACCATTACATACCATTACATACCATTACATATCATTACATACCATTACATACATATAACATACCATTACATACCATTACATACCATTACATACCATTACATACCATTACATACCATATACATACCATATACATACCATATACATATACATATACATACCATATACATACCACATACATATCATATACATCCCATATACATACCATATACATACCATATACATACCATATACATACCATATACATATACATATACATTACATATACATTACATATACATTACATATACATTACATATACATTACATATACATTACATTTACACTACATATACATTACATTTACATTACAATACATTTACATTACATATACATTACATATACATTACATATACATTACATTTACATTACATATACATTACATTTACATTACATTTACATTACATTTACATTACATTTACATTACATATACATTGCATTTACATTACATTTACATTACATTTACATTACATATACATTACATTTACATTACATTTACATTACATATACATTACATTTACACTACATATACATTACATTTACACTACATTACATTACATGACATATACATTACATTTACATATACATATACATATACATATACATATACATATACATTACATTACACTACACTACATTACATTACACTACATACGTACATACATACATTCTGATATGTATATACAGGACATACAACATAGCTTACATGATATTATTTACTGTATGTGATTCGTATTATATGTAACTGTGTATATATATGCATTCCTGCCGCCTGCAGCTCCGACGCACGGCTGTTGTTTTTGACTCTACAGTCCGTGCCCTCTGATTTTCAGGCTACAAGCGCCATGTCAACCCCATAGCCCTTCATTGAAGGCCATAAGTGAGGGACCACTTACCCTACCTTCCACGCGCTCCCTGCTGGCTCACAGATAAGATATCTAATGGCCGCTTGTAGACAGGGAGGGGAGGCTGTGGGGAAATGTCCACGACATTGAGGCTTGTAGGCCTGTTCCAGGTAGGTTCTGGCTGTGCCAGGTATCCACGAAAGATCTCCTGGACTCACCCCAAAGAAGGGGGAATTTACCCCCTTTTCATTTGTCAGCTGCCCTCTAAGGGCTGATAAAGATGTAGGCTCATCATTCAAGCCTTTCATGCGAAAGGAAAAGGCTTTTGCTTCCTTTCGGGTTCTACAAAACGATTGCGAGCAGGCTGGACAAAATGACATGCTGAGGTGCCAATTGCAGCAGCTAACGTAATGCTACCCCCTGAAGGTCTGCATTACCTTGGGAGACCCAGATGTTGTCCCTGCTGGCATCTCAACTTGGTACCAGATAGTGGCCAGTTCCCAGCCCCTCGCAAGGTGCTGCAGTGTTTGCAGCCAGTAATTTACACTGCCGCAAGGGTGTAGTTGGCATAGCCTCGGCTCGCCACTCCTCCAGAAAAATTTCATTAATCTGCAACTGTACCATCAAATTCTTCATAATTCTCATTGCAAAAATCCGTACCAAGGTTGTGAAACGTTTGGAACCTTCAGAACGCCTGGGCATAGCGCTCTTCAGTGGTCTGGCTAATGACTTGAAGTTTCAACTTCCCACTCTTTCTCCTGTTTCTTCCTCAAACCAACGTCGGCCGGGCTTCAACCCTGCGTTTACGCAGTATAGCGCCGTGACGGCTCGTGTGCAGGATTGTCCCCGGACTCGACCCAGCCCAAGACTGGGTACACTCCGTGAAGAGCCGCAAACCGACGAAGGACTTTGTTCAAAGATCTCGAGCTCGAGCGGCCCCTTATTGCCACTGACAGGCCCACCACCGAGCTTGCCAGGTGTAGGGCGCGGCAGTTTGAGAACGCCGCTGACCTCAGGCGCCATTCAAATGCGCCCACCAGGGCCTTCAGCTGTAAGATGTTTATGTGTTCCTTGTGTTTGAAGCGGTAAGCCAAGCCCACGTGCCAGAGCCACTTTGACGGGTCAATTGACCCTCTTGGGAAAGCGTCGGGCCTGTATAGAGACCCTACGTCCAATCGGACGTCTGAGCCTCTCAGTTCTTGTCTGCGAATGAACGCTGACACCAGTTTGACGCTCAGGCGCTTTCCTGCTTCGAAAATTTCCTCCTCTGTCGGGAATGTTTGCCCCTTCAATTCCAACTCCGCCTGAGCCAAATCACCCATCAGGCTCTCTTCATCATCTGCACGTTCCAGGATCATGTCCTCCCCCTCTGATACCGGGGCGTCGGTTGTCAAGCTTGGTTCCGGAGGTGCCTCCAAGCTGCTCACGAATTGATCAACTATTTTCTGCACACCTTTTTCCTTCTTCAGCCCCATAGAAGCAAAGGCCTTGTCAAAGATGGCAGCCACCGTATTTGTGTGAAAAGAGTTGCCAATGGCTGCGCAACGGAGGTCTTCTGCATACCTGATCTCTTCTTGCCCTTCGGGCATCTTCTTCAGGAGAGCTGATGTGTACCTCCGGGGGTACCCCATCAAGACCTCCCTCTCAGCAGCTGCCAGCCTGAGCACGTCATCATTGCCTTTCACCAAAAACTTCTCGGCATACACTTAAGGGGGGTATCGGAACTCGTCCTCCTTCCATCTGTCTCGCGTCACAGCGTCTGCGCTGTCCAGCCCTGCTGGGCAAAAAGGAGGCCGACGTCGTGGGACTGACCTGGTGAGAGTTGGGAACCTCAGGTTCCCATCAGCCTCCCCGGCTGGCCAGGTAATCCCTTGCTTTAAAAAGCTCCCCACCGGCTCGGGGCATCCAGCCGCACCACATCGTAGGAAGACCCCTGGCCCCGCGTCGGGTCCCCCGGGTCCCCTACTGGGATGGACAGCCAATACAAGCGTGGTCTGCGCACCCTACTGAGCTTTCCTGACTCAACCAAAAACGGGTGGATTTTCAGGGCTGCCGACATCTCATCAATGTCGCTTGCATCCGGCACCACATTCTCGAGGAACTTGATCACCCACAAGCGCCGCTCGGTGGCCATGTTCTCAATCATCTCCATCACGCGCACTGCCTCATAAAACAAGGCACTGCGTTCATCCTCAAGGTGGCTCCTTTCCGACGAAAGCCGGCTGAGTCCTTGACAAGGACTCCCACCTCCGACTATCATGCCTGTGAGGCCAGGCACCTTCTCCATCGCCCTCTTCAAGAGCCCCTCATTGAACTTGGTGATGTCGCTGCAAAGTCGGACCCAGGATACTTTCGCCTCAATAGGCGCCGACAATCCACATCCTTTTCCACCATGAGCGAGTGGAGCACTTTCACGCCAGCCTTTTCTAAGGCCACTTCAAGACCACCCAGCCCCGCAAACAAGTCGATCTCAGTATCTTTTCTTCCGACACCACCTCCGCATCCAGCAAGTTTAGGTGGCGCAGGTCTGAAGCCCCTTGCGGAGATTTCAAAGGCCGCCATCTTTCCAGACCTTGAAGAAGCGGCTGGCTGGAGCATTTATCTGGACGACACCACTGTCCTTGAGAAGGTCCAAATGGTGGTTGCTGAGGAGTTGGCAGGTACCCCAGCCGAAGGGCAGAAGCAGCTTCGCCAGGCCTACGCATGGTGGGGAATTCTTACAGATGCGGCCAAGAGCCTCGAGCGTGTGAGGCAGGCTGAGCGGCTGGACGAGGCCGGGGTATTGAGGACCAAGACAAAGAGTAGCCTAGACCTCTTTGGGTTGGGCTCTTGGAATCGTGGGTGTTCCCAAGTCCCACGGAAAGCCCTGCAGGTTTACGCTGGTAAGGCGGTGCACATTCTACAGTTCAGAAGGTGCTTGTTCTCAATTATGGAAGAATTTTTTGCGATGATCGCGCATGGAGGCGAGGTGGTCACAGTTTCTGATGCGCTGGCAGAGGAGATGTTGTTACTTGAGGCACTCTTACCACTAGCACAGTTCGACCTGAAGGCAAAGATGGACCCAGTGGTCCTCAGCGCTATCGCCCTGTGGCAGGCTTGCATCAACCCCACCGCTGAATGCCAACCCATGGGCAGCACTGATATGCCCAGGAGCGTCTCACCGTCTCCTGCCAGACCTAGCTCTGATCGGGCCACCGGCTTTTCGAGCACCATGTAATTGCTCCACTCCTCGGGGAGCCTGAACAGATAGAAAGCTGCGGTCAGATCCTCTCCACTGACGAGGAGCTCCTGGCCACTTTCTATGACGACCCTCTGGAAGGATGCCGCACCACAAAGATGGCCGACCTCGCCATCTATTTGCTTCATGCAGTAGTTTGTGGCCCTAAGGTCCATTATGAGTCGCAGCACCGGCTCCCCTTTCTCTGTCACCTTGTCGGGCCTCCCCACGCCGAATGCACCGTTGCACTTTTTCACCATCCAGCACCGGACAGTGATTGACAGGCCGGACAAGTCCTCTGTCAAACAGGGCCCGGGCTATCTTGGGCCACTCTCCATCAACTACCCTGACCTTTGGGCGAGGTCTAGGACCCTGAGGTGGTTCCACCATGATCTTCTCCGGGTGTTTCAACGCCTCCTGCAAATGTGGAGGCAGCACTCCCATTATATCCACAGACCCGCCATGTTCTACGCTCGGCAGGCCTGGCAGCACTTGGGCCAGGGTAAGCGGCACCGCTTTCTCCAACACTTCACCCAGTGTAACTCACTTTCAAGTCGTCTATCGCATGTCCCCAATCTTCCTGAGAAGATCTAGGGACTCCGGCCCTCTCACGTTCATCAATGAACGATTTCACCACTTCCCACAGTGTGTTCAGGGCCTGCTCTTGTGCCGCTGTGGCCTGGCCACCTGCGCATGGTCTTTCGCCCTTCGGCTCATCACCAGGTGGTTCAGGGCGACCACAACTAGCCCATGCCAGGCCCTCAAGCCATTACCCCTAAGCGCCTTTGCTGCCTTCGACTTGGTGCGGCCTCTGTTGCGCCATGCACCTGGTTGTTCACGTACCTGGGCTTCATCTAAGATCTCATTCAGGGCTTCACGGCCATCAAACCATAGCGGGAGGGGGAACAGATTCAGCACCTTGCCCTCCCTCCGCGTCGGGGACTGTAGAGACCAAAGCATATACTCCTTCAACGGTGAGTCGGTTTCCATCAGCTGGAGAACCAGGTGGCGGATCAGCTGTGCCGCCGACAAATTCCCAGTCTCGTCTTGTTGAAGGAACTCCCGGAGGAGTCTGCTTGCAGGGGGCTTCACATCGCACTCACCAGCCGCCGGGCTAGCTGAGACCCTTTCCCTGGAGGATCTACTTGGCTCCCTCTTGATGCTTTTCCGACTCCCTTGGGATGGCTCCCTTTTGGTCTGTCGAACTTGCTGACTTTTCCTGCTGGCCGATCTTTCTTGCCCTTTCCTCCTCCTTTTGTCTTTCACTTTTACCCTCTCTGGAGGGGCTGATCTGGGCTCTGACTTTTGCCGGGACCGTCGTCGATGGCGATCCGGGGTGTTGTCTCTTCCAAGCCTTTTCCTCCACCTTGATTCTGCCGAGTTCTCTCCACTTCGAGGCCCAGGTGTTGACCTTGATCTTCCCTCGGCTTTTTCCATGAGGCTTGGCAATCCCTCATCTCCTTCGCTATCTCGCTTAACTGGCCCACGGACTTCTCCCCGGGGGGAGCCTGAACGCCGCCAGCTTCCTACTTGTTCTTTTTCAGCTGGCCCCGGCTCTTTCTCAAATTTGGCGCCTGGTTCTCGGCCTTGGCTGTGGCGGTCCTCACGTCTCCTCTCAGAAGACCGGCCCCTCCTCCTGGAGCGGGTTTGAAGTGTCTCGCTTTCTGGTAACCTCCCTCCTGGAAGGGGGCATCGTTCATCTTGAACCCCCGCCGCATCATGTGCATGAGCCTTCCTTTCAGTATTCGCACTGGAGGGCGGTTCATCGGCACCCCCTCGTGGCCCACGCACACGGCCCAATGAGGACCTGGCTCCCGAAGAATCCTCGGAAGGATCTCGTCGGCGACCCGTGCTCTTGTCCTTCTTTGCGCTGTCTTCCTCTCGTCTTTTCCGGTGGGGGGACCCCGACCTGCGTCGTTTTTCCTGGCTGGCGACCTGATCTCTGACATGATCGTCAAGCCGCCTTTTCTTTGGACCCTCCTTTGGGCTCTTAGCCCTATCCTCTGCCTCACACAGCGGCCGTCTTGCCGGGTCCGATGGATGAGGGGGGGCCCCCTCCGCGGTCTTTGCTGGAGCCTCTCCCGTCCCTGAACCCCCTGGGGGGGCCCTCCTGCTAACTTAGCTGTCGCCGCTTCCTTCAGGACAACCCTGCCCCAGGTCTCGCCTTTTTCTTTCATGTGTCCCCCTAGTACCATGGTTGCCGGGCTCAATAGCCGCCATCGGTCTAGGTGAATCAGAATCCTCCTGTCTCCTCTTGGCAGTTTGAACCTGCAAGTGGAGTGCTTACCCGTGCACACGTGGTACACGGCACCCTTTTCCCGGATGTCATGGTCAACATACCACTGATAGTACTTGTCTGAGCACTCCCCGTGGGAGGCTCTCAGAACTCCTTCTTCTTCCCAACTCTGTAGTTTCAGAACGCCCCGTCCTTGAGGGGCCCCCGTTGATTCATAGCAGGCGTGTTCTAGGTAGCGCCCTGCCTCCATTCCTGCCTTTGCTATCAGGAGGGATTCAGATCCCATATCCTCGGCGTCCACCCATCCCCCTTCGGTGACTGGGCGGTTCAACCTCAGCGCCTTCTGGGCCTCCTCTTCTGTTAGACCTTCTCTATGGGCAAACATTAGTAGCCCATCCATTTATGGGGGTGACTCCCCTAAGGGAGCTCACCCCCAGCTCCGACCACTGTGAGCCGAAACTGCGCAGCAGGCTTTTCATGCATGAATCCCCTAAAGGAGAAACCATATATATATGGTATGCATGTATGAAGTATGTGTAATGTGTAATATACATATATATATATACATACTGAACATTTACTAGGAACGCTCTCGTAAATGTTGCATGTTTTTGACGTTAAAGATCACACGAATCGATCATTGTCAGTGGTGATTCTCATCGTTGTCAGTTCAGCATTCCTGCTCACCGACGAATAAGAATCTATATATAAATTCGCTGGTTAATTCCCTCTATGTACTCCCATCCCCCGATCATATCAAATACCTGGAAATTATGGTCTCCAAAAACGAATAGATTCAATTCTAAACCAGAACTAAACCAGAGGTTCGATTGGTGTGTTTTCATAGGGTTAGTCAGGTTAGTCCCATTCTTTTTGCTACCCACAACAATGGGGCACAAACTTGCGAATACGCCCAAATCCGGTCCTCATCGAACTCCAGGACTCCACACTCGGCAGTTGAGGGATACAATGGACCCACAGAAAGTAAGTTGAGTCGTGTAGTAAGTTTACACAGAAAGAATCTTCCTGAAACTAAGCAGTTGAATTGAATTAATTATGGCTGGCAAAAAGAGGGCTCACAACTGTTACAACTCTACTCAGATCATGCTGGGGGCAAGCAGTTGATTGGGATTATGGCTCGCAGGGCATCGCACTTTAAGAGAAAATATGTTTTGAGCTTCGAAGGAGTTGCTACAAATCGGAAACTCCGTGTTCTTTGCAGAGTTCAACTCGAACCGTGCGGAGAGCAGCTCGCGAGATGGACCAGCTGGGCATGGCCACCCCGTGGTTCCCAGGGCCCCAAATGTGAACTCCATACCCACATCAAATGTGGACGGACGTGGTAAACCCAACAAGAAACCTCCAACTTGAGGATTGTCTATACCAATGTACGGCAAACTTTGAGAATAGAAATTCTGAAAGGCCCTGACCACATGGTCCCTGTCCAAATAACTTACCGGAGCCCCCCGGGAATTGCACACACCATGGTTTCTTGTTCAAAAGAAAGGAAATCAACGTGAGACAAGAAATTTACGTTCCGATGTCCATTCTTTTCTCGCCTCGAAGAATTGGCAGCCTGACATAGCCTGACTATAGAACTCAACCGTCGTTTCCTGGTAGACTTTGGTCACTACGGTTGACTCGTCTCCCGGTCCTTGATGGGTCCCAAGTCAGGGCGAGCGCCTCACAGCGTTGGTCAGCGCTCATGGCACTCACTGCTCGATGCTCCTGGAAACAAGTTCAAGGGTCTTTTGGCCTATCCAATCTATCCACAGTGGAAAACATGTTTAAGACACTGGAAGATGGAATCTGTACTTGGCAGTATTTGCAGCACTTGAAATCTCCTATTTTTTAGTGGCTTGCAACATGTTGGGTCAGCCGTCAGGGTTTGCCCCAACGCGAGCAATGATCCTAAGGTTCCGACCACTTGTTGGGGGGTGCGGTGGGTCTTTACATAAGCCATGACCCTAAATAAGCCCCCCAACCAAGCTGAAATAAATCCTAACACAACACGAAATGAACCCTAAAACAAGCCCAAAGAAGCACCAAATAGCAAAAACAACCCTTAATGAACACCAACCGTACCCCTAGCAAACACCAAACCAAAAACAAAAGGTTCGAATATATACAACATCACAAATACACCACCAAAAACGCTGAACAAGCACTACATGGAAATAAGAAGGAGCACCAAAAGAACTCCAAACAACACTAAATGAACGCTGAAAATACAAATAAGCACCAAAACAACACTAAGTAAATACTATTCCCAAATCATCATTGAACCTACACTCAAAAACCTAAACCAAGACTATCGAGACTTTAAGCTTAACTTTAAACAACCCTCAAAAGTGCTAAAACAACACCAAATCACCGCTAAAACAACCTTAAATAGGCTCTATTTCTAGCCAGACAAGACCAGGGGAGCAAAGGATGACTAAAAAACCAAAGTATCAGTAGACTGAGGGACCAGGGCAACATTAAACTTGTTTTTTCAGCGATGTCGTTCTTTTCCCAGGAGACTTAGATTTTATCCAGTATCCAGCAAAAGATGAAACTGATGAAACCGTTACTATGCGCCCTGTAAACTCACCAAAAGCATCCGAAAATATGCCAAAATCGCAGGGGATCACAGAAATAACTTGCATTTTTGCTCCAGGAAAGGAGCAGCTGAAATAGGGGATATCGCCTGTGAGCCCTGCGGATTTGCCCACCCAATATTCGTCGTCTCCTGGCCGGCACTCCTGAGGATGCACGAAAAACTCGCGAATGGATCAGGATCATCTGGGGTTTCCATAAATGGGGGTACCCCAAAATGGATGATTTGGAATGGAAAATCCTATTTGGTGCCCCTGAATCCGTTGGTATATTATGTATTCATCCTTTTTCGTATTGAAATGACCATCTTGGAGGCTACACCCCGCTTTCAGACAAACCCATCTAGAAGACAATGACTCGCATCAGAAAATAATGACTTACATAAGGTGCATGTGCTTATATGTACTAATATACACTGGAGAGGTACTGGTTTGCTGCGGTTAAATGGACATTTACATAGGACATGTCAGAGGTGTGACCCCCTGTTGTAGGTCCAGAGATGTGGGATAAGTTTTTCTGCCAGGATGTGTCAAACTTGGCTCCACCTCAAATAGCATGTTTGATACTAAAAACGACCCTAACATGTGCATAACATAATCTACTACTACATATATACATATCTATATACACATGCATATGTATATTATATTTATATAATGTAAATTTATAATATAAATATATATATATATGTCGTTCTTCGATTTCTGTTCATCCTTCGATTTTTTGATCTGCCCATGGCCTTGGGGTGAGCTTGGACGGGGTGCTGCTCCGCACCTCGCTCAAGCCGTGAATGGCTCGGGTCTGTAGATATCCCAACCCATTTCGGGACGATTGTTGGAGATCGGTGAATTTTGGGTGAAAACCTCATGTGTTAGGTCAACCGTTTTCAGTCCCAAGGAACGCTTGGCGTTCATTTTGACAACAGCATCTTTCTGCTTGGCCAACTGATCCTTTTGAGCAACCAAATTTTGACACAAAAATTGAGCCGCAAGAAATCAAGCATCATGGTGGTGAACAAGAGCCGAACAAATTGTGGAACATCACCAAGAAGAATGGGATGCCCCCATGCTCTAAGAAGGCACCATTTTTTTTGCTTTCAACAGATCTGATCAGGTCGCCTTTTTTACGTCATGATTCTTTGCCAGCTCAGTGATTCCTGAGCAAGCGATGGAAGCCATAGTGGTGACAAGTGGAAAGTCACAGTCCGCCACAATGAGCAACAAAGGCTGGACAAAAGATAGCACATGTTCGTGTTCCTTTGACAACAACCGCGCCTCGTTGCAATGATTTTTTTACTAACTTGTGTTAACTGTCAACTAACCTGTTGCTGCATTTATATATGTACTTTTAGGTACTGTTGCTCATTGTAGAGTATGAAGTAGTCTTGCCGTTGTCAAACCATCTCAATCCTTGAAAAACAAAGTGTAGTGATTCGCATCAAACGTAGTCCTAGCAGGCTCTATGGGCACGGATTTGTAATATTGCACATTGGGTCATCATCGAAGGCACGTTCCAGGAAGTCCGGGATCACATCACTCTCTTCTACCGTTTTTTTGCAGCAATTGTAGCTCGTGATGCATGCAAATGTTTCCTTGCTGTACTGGCAGTGACCGACGACGTCACGTTCGTTTCTGGCCCTGTAGCAAGCACCGGCTCCCTGGCTGTCACATTCATCACCACAGCCCTGTAGGGACTGTAGGGTAGCTGCAATGGCAAGGGCAGTGGCGAAGGTCACGAGCGACTTTGGTGTCATCGGTGAAAGAAGTCTGCACCAGAGGTATAGGCTGCTGCTGAGATGGCTGTGGACTTGAGCACTCAGGCCGAATAACAGACTATCTCGCAACATGACAAGCCAAAGCAGGCCAAAGCAACGATAGAAATTACATAAAATTACACAAGAGTTCACTTGGCCAAACAATCAAAGTCTGTCTGGACCTCCCTTCGGAAGTTGGACACAGCCCAAAAATTCAACATCCTCTCGGCTCATGGATCACCACTTGGCCCCCAACCCGTGAGGGCCGCAGTGCCCGGTGTGGAAAGGGTGGGGTTTCTGGTTGCAAACTTTGGATGCCACAGGCGTAGCCTGGCATGGCCACAGTTTCTGGGTTTCATGGTTTTGTTGGGAGTCATCAAACGTGGTTTGCTGGAAAATCACCCATTTACAAATGATTTTCCCTGCTATAAACCTCCATTTAGTTCGGTGATATTCAATTGCCATGGTTGATGATCAAAGTGTAAAGGGAACAGGGCTAACCCTAGCATCATGGCTACTTGTTTCTGAAAATAACAAACTTGTTGGGGAGAAACCAATCAGGGTCGGGGCGTCGTTAGAAGAGTTGGGGGGCCATCATGTCAGGATGAAAAACCGATCCAATGTGGCAAACAGTAGTAAACCCAATTGTTCACCAAACCAAAAACCAACCATAAACGGGGATCTCAAAAAGTGTATCTGCCCAAATCTGCCTCTTTCTGGATTTACAAAACCAAAATTTGGGATATCTTTGACAAATTATCTCTAGCAAACACCCAGCACGCTTGTTTTCCACGTGCTCGCAGTCTTGGGCCATCTTGAGCCAAAACATATACAGGGGGCGAAATTTCAACACCCATTCAACGCTAGTGATAGTTTAACTACACTTTCGCTGGTTCTAAAGCCTTTTCTCCGCTGGTTTTTCCTTCACGGAACTCTTGGCACAGCGTTCTCATGTGTTTTTCACATGTCTCTCTACTCACAGGTTTTGTGCATGGGTCAGCTAGATTTTGTTTTGTGTTCACGGATTTAACGGTCAGGTCATTGTTCGCCACGCGGTCTTGTACTGAAAGGTATCGGGTTTGTACGTGACGTAGTTTGCCTAGACCGCGTCTTGCAGCAGTACCTCTTGCTGCTGACGAATCGCTCAGCACGATTAAGTCGTATTTCTGACCCCAGTCTGCCATCAGCGATTTCAGACTGTGTCCTAGTGCAGCACCACGGGTAAGTGCATAAAACTCACACTCTCCACTGCCTACCGCCATGGTTGATTGCAAGTTTAATCCGTGCTTCACGCAGTGTGTTCCAATGGATATAGTGTATCCAGTTGTGCTTCGCCGGGTCAGTAGACATCCGGCATGGTCGCTATCTGCATGTACTTTGATCACATTTGTAGGTCGTTGTGGGTGGTACACGTCGACTACTCTTGGTCGTCCTGCCAAGTATCTTCCTAACCTTTTCAAGTCTTGCATGTCGCTTTCATTCGGTGCTTTCATCACAGCTTCACTCAGGTGTGCTCTGTCTTGCGCTAGGAATTGGGCTCTCATTACCAAACTCCTGTAGAGCGTGGTCTGCTCTGCCATCACCAGTGGAAATCCAACCGATGCCAGCACTTCAGAACTTTTCTTCTTCTCCGCTGGTGTAGTAACACTCCTTGCATTCTGCAGATTCAATTGTCTTATGATCATCTCAGCATGTCTTGGATCTGCTTCGTAGGTTACTCGTCCAGTTTCTTGTTCGTATGACACAATCCTATTGAGGATCGTCAGATGTTTTCCGGAACCTTTTGTGATTTCTCCATCGCATCTGTATTCGTACTTTTCCTTCAAGACTTGTTGCATGTACTCTTGCCCCTCCTGGTCAGCTAGTACCACGAAGTCATCTCCGTGCACAGTAGTTTGATATCCAACTCATCGTGTCTGAAGACACTTGTCCAGGCCTGTTCCTGGTGGAAGTGTTTCTTTTTCAGATGGTTGGAATCGTCTTCCTGCCACATGTCACTCGCACCTTGAGTCCCGTACATGGTTTTCTTGAGTATTGCGCAGTATCCTTCCTGTTCGTCTCCAGGTGGTAATGTGACGTATATTTCTCTCTGAGCCTCTCTGTAGACATGAGCTCTTGAAATATCGTTCAATGCCAACCTCAGATCTGTTCCTTTCTTGTTCTTCTTCCTTGTTGCCAGTTCTGAGCATAGGATCTTGACCGCTTCTAACGGAGGCATGTTGCTGAACAACATATGTCCAGGCAATGTTCCATGTTGTCTCTTCACTTCACGGACAACGATCCTCGATCTGTAGTTTGGGTGTTCTCTGTCACCCTTGTTTCTGTCTATCCATTTCAGTGTTATGGGTCCCTTTCCAGTTCTTTGCCAACATTCTTCGATTGTTCTCTTTCCGTACACCTTTGCACGGTGTAACCATTGCAGTTCTTCTTGCCTTGCTGCTAAGACTCCTTGTGTGTCCAACTGTGCTCCAGTGATGTCGTCGAAGAACATCTGATCTTCATGGTCTTCCTTCTTGTGGAAGCTTCTTCCCTGGTACAAAGTCCTCTTCGTATTCTTCCAGATTCATGTCTTCATCTGGACTGGGTCCAGCATTCACTGAATGTACTTCTCGGTATTCTCCGTCTGCTTTCATTTGTCTCTTGGGTGCTCTAAGCACTGCTCGAACTAGAGCTGGAGGGTATATTCGGGCCGTCTTTGCTCGTCCGTTCACTAGGTGGATGTGGCGATGCCACTCATACTTTCCGCCAGGTAGGTCATGTGTACACACTCCACGTAATGTCTCTGCACGTGGGTTTCCGGATGTATTCTTCTCCAGCAGCATCTCTTTCTACCATCTTCCACCTAAACATTGGTCCTTCTACGATCTCTACATTCGGCATCTCATTGATTTCTTGGATGCACTCTTCTTTCCACGAATTTGCTGACTTCGGATGCATGTAGGAAATACTTCCCTTTCTTGATCCTTTGTTTGTAGATTGAACATGATGGTTCCAACATCTCTTTTCCTTCTTCTAATCTTGCTTGGAATTTCTCTGGGCCCATTCTTCCTTGGTTCAATCCCTGTAAAATCGAAAATGGATCACAAGGTGGGCTTCCTGTAGTCAGGTACGGATCCTCTTCATCCAGGATCTTTTCAAGACATTTCACCTGTGTTTTGTCCGTCAAAGTCCCAACCTGTCTCCAAGCCAACTGCGTATCCAGGAAGTAATCCGGATGCTTCGCACTTCTCTGTGAATCTTGGTGGTGAAAATATTTCCGTCACATCATGCGCTCCCAATGCATTCAGTTCTGTCTTTGTAGAATATCAACTTCCGACTCCTCCAATGCGAAACAGTGACTGGATATGTTGTTCTGGATCTTGTCTCCGAATCTCCAGTTGCGGTACAACTGGTGACCAAAACTGGTCCTGACTGAGTGTCGAACCTGGCGCTGCTGATCCCGACGCGGCTCCCTCTGCTGAAGCAGCAGGGGGCTCCGATTGGATCTCTGCTGAACCTCCGGTTGAAACAACCAAGGGCTCTGCACTTCCTTCGGCTTCATGGAACAAATCGTCCACTGATTCACCTACCCTCTTTTCACCTTTGTTGGGTTTCGCTCTTGCTTTCTTTCCAGGTTCTCCGCTCCTCTTTCCACTCCTTCTTGGTTTCTCTTGGGGCTAGTGACCGTTTCTTCCTCGGTTTGTCCCAAGGCTACCGACGATCTCACCTCTTGTTCCGGCGGATCGTGCAATCCTGTTACTTCGGCTTTTGCCTTCTTCGTCTTTCCTTCTTCCTGTCTTTTCTCAACATCGGCCAATCTCTTTTGACCTTCTTCGGTACCTTTCAATCTTTCCATCAGCCTGTTTCTACAGGTCATGTTGTGGGTAACCGATGGAAATCCGACCATCAACACCTCACACCCTTTGTAGCCAGGTGTGTAGTCATACGTGCCGTCCTCTTTCTCCAGGTCTTTCTTTCTTACATACAACTGCCTTGGTCCTATCTCTTACAGCAGGAGTCAGCCTCTGCGTGGCTTCCGGCAATGCTATGTACAACCTGTGTTCTAGATCTCCGGCTTCCCTTGGACGAAGCATCCAGGGGACGCCTTTAGGATCCTTCAGCTCAGAACGATCCCATCGTTCTGTCTCCGGTCCCCTATGTACCGCGTTTCCCTTGACCACTCCTTGGGTCGTCATGACCAGCACGTCTGCATTTCTCCCATGTGTTCCCACGTAGTATCCGCCCATCGCTCTTCTTCCAAGATCGCCACTTTTCCCTTCACCTGTTGCCCCATCATCTACTTTGTACGCATCCAGAGGTCTGAAGAAAATCCTTTCTCCGAACCTCACCAGTGGATACCAGTGGTCTGTCCAACTTTCTTCCAGTCAACTTCTGGTAGGGTGTTCTCCCACCATCTTTGATTGAGAATCGACTCAGGCAAAATGCCGCATGTCGACTCAGCCAAGTCAAAATAGGATGAGTGTCGTCCAGTTTTCCTAGGTTCTCTTCGACTTCGCTTAAGAGTGCTCGAACCTGTCTTTTCTGATCCCTGACCGCTACTTCTACAGCACCATTCGCACTATGGTTCTCTGCTGGGCCTCCTGCAACACAATTTCGACATCCTTTGCTTGCACCTTTACTTCTCTCTTAAGTGCAAGGATTCATGGTTCATTATCACGTTTCAAGATGATTCTGCGATAGCCAGTCTCGTTGATGCAGGATAGCAGAAAGTTCACTGAGAACAAATCTGGTCCTTCCGTAGGAATGGTGGTAGGTAGAGTTTTCACTGGTACTTCACTCTCCTCATCGTGTGAAACTGTTTGGTATCGAGCTGCAGCTGCTCGAGCTCGGATGCAATGTCCACACCAAGACCCGTGCACCGCATGAGCGGTTGCTTGATGTTCCTCGAATTCTTGGGCCGTTGGTTTGCAACGCTTTTCGCAACCCTCGGCCTTTGTACCTCTGTGGGTTCTTCCGGGTCCTCCGCCGAACCGGCGGGGGCCCCAGACTCCCCCATTCCCGTTTCTTCCACAGCTACCGGGCTTACAGCTAGGCCTGCCGTCAGTTTCCCGAACTTGCTTTTGCAATCTTTTCGGTGGTCTCTTCGTCGACCCAATAGTCGAACACATTTATATACACCCTTTAAAACTCGCACCTTTGTTGGCTTACAATCTTCTTCAGCCAATACTTTTTCCACATACGCCTGAATCCTCTTTGATGCTTTGCTATTACCCGGGATTATCTGTCCCCCATTTGAATCTAACACAATCAAGTTCCTATTGCGCACTTCATTGCCGCTTGCCAAGATTCTGTGAACGTCGGTGACTCGTGCCGTCATAGACTTGTCCACATAGTCCTGGTCCGTGCCGTAGAGCTTCACTTGACCGTGATCTTCAAGAAGTTCACCTGAGGCCGTTTTATACTTGGTGGTGTGGGGTTCCCCGCTTACGTACCTTTCAAAGTTCTTTTCAGAGAACTGTGGAAACTGCCGCACCCGTGTCAAAATTGACAAGGACATGTTTGCGAAACCCTTGAATTGAATGTCTGGCTCACTCCCGGTCGAACTGAACGAGAGCAATTCCCTTTCGTCTCTTTTTCCGCCATAGCCTTTGTCTTTGCCTTGGCCTTGTCGCCATGGCGCATTGTGAAACATGTCTTCGGGCTGCCTCGATCTCCAATCTTGAAGTCCTTTGACTTCTTCCGTTTCCACAAGCCTCGAACTTCCTGAACTCGAAGTTGGGCTTGCTTCGCGTTCTTCTTTCACATCTTCCTCTTTGGCCTTCTTCTTTGGAACTTCCTTTGGTGGATCCATGGGGTAGGCTCTTTTGCTTTTCTTGAACAGTTCCTTCACCTTCTTCTCCGTTCGCACTAACTCCTTTTCCTCCTCTTGGTACATCACCCAACACTTGTCTGCGCATCTGCAAGTAACGTGCAGGAAATACCTACAGTGGGTCGTCTTCAACTCTTCGATCTTCTTCACATCGTGACTGGAATGGACATGGGTCTTTTTTGCATTGTCCTTCCCATGCCAAAGCTCTGCATGCTTCTTGTTTCCTTCTCCTCAACTTCTTCTTCTTCTCATTTCTCTTTTGTTCTTTGCTGGAGTCCTCTTCTTCGATCCCGAGTCGATCCTTTTGCAAAGATGTTCGCCCTTTTCCGTTCCATCACTTCCTTCTCATCTTCTTGGCATTCCTGTGTGAACTCTTGGAAGGCTCGTCCTTGAAATTCTCTGAAGGTCAACCTTTCTTTGTGTCCTTCTGATTTCTTTCCTCCTTGCAACACTTGCATTCCTTATCCAGTGGGGTTGACAACCTCTGTTTCGATGCCTTCAGCAACCAATTTTTCCGTGTCGTCCGAGATGTAGTCCTTTGCAGTCCTGGTTCTGTTTTGGAACTTCTCGGTCCAAAGTGCGTCCAACCTTCTTCTTCCCTGCGCTCTTTCTTTCATACCCAATTGACCGTGTAGATGTGCACGTCGTCGTCCTTTCTCCTTTCTCCATGCCTCGCTATGAGATACACCTGCAGCAAGTGCTCGGTGATACCTAGCGTCGTGCCAGTCTTGGCTTAACATCGTCTCTTTGGTCAGCAATGCCAGGGGTGCTTTCCTGGTCTGCTGATCTCGTTCTCGCGTGTGCTCCTTCATAGTCTTCAGCTTGATGTCAACTTCCTTGATTTGCGCCTCGATGCCTTTGGCACTCTCTTCATCTTCAGCTTTGTCGAGGTATTGGGTGAGCTTGTTCTTCTGCATCGTGAGCTTTCCAATCTCCAGTGTCTCGATGGATCGGTGCATCAGCACTGAGGTCACTGGAGTCACAGTCCTGCCTGAATCAGGCAAAACCGCATCCATTCCCTCTGTGCTTCCGCTCGACTTTTCCTTGGGTTTCTTTTCTTCATCGCCGGCATCTGACCTTCATCCAACAGCGCTCTTGCCTCTGCAAGAATTCCCAAGATTTTCTCTCGGCTTTCCTCATCCGCTGAAGTCTCTGCATAGGCTCGGAGGTACTCTTCTTGACGTTTGTCATCCTCATCTGCACCTTCGTCGTCGGCTTCTTCACCTTCGTCTTCATCCTCCTGCTCGATCTCGATGTCTTCTTCTTTTGGTTCTTCCTCTTCCTCTCCTGGGCTTTCACTTTGCTCTTGGACTTCTTCATCTTCCGACTCTCCGGAATCTTCGACATCATCGGACTCCTCTTCCGTTTCTTCTCGGAGAACGTCGTAGGCACCTGAGGACATTCGTTTTGCTTGCGCTCTCTTGGTGGCGTATTCCATGGCTGCTACCGTACTGGGCTTCGACCTCTCGTCACCACTGGAGCAGGCGTCGTCAAGGTATTCCCGCTCCAGAACCTTCTTGGCTATCCATTGGCCTACGGCTACGGAGCCTTTCACAGTGCGTGCTGCATCGATAGACGCAGCGAGCCTCTGCCTATATCGGGTCACTGGAAGGTCTCTCCAGGTCAGTCTTGTACCCGCTTTCAACTGCCTTCTGTACCGTCTCTGAGCAGCTTTGCGAGTTGCTTCCGGAAGTCCAACATCAGGTACTGGTTGTTCACCTTCAGCTGGTCTTTCATCTTCCGATGTGGCACCCAACATGGCTAACCCGAGGTACCTGGTTTCAGCTTCACGTTCTGTTTGTTGGTTGTTTTCTTCCGCGTTGTTAACACTCTTGTTCTTACCTTTGTTTCTTCCTTTTCCTTTGCCTTTGTTGCTACTGCTGTTGCTCTGTTTTGCTGCTCTGCAGTCTCGCTGTATGTGTCCCGGCTTGCCGCAGTTGAAACGAACCACGGCTGCCGAATTTGAGCCAGACTTGCCATGGGAACCTTTTCCATTCTTTGACATGCTTTTACCCTTACCTTTTCCTTTATCTTCTTTCCCTTCGCTCTTACCTCCTTTACCTTTACTCTCTCCTTTGCCTTTACCACCTTTTCCAAATGCTCCAATCTCCATGTCGTCTTCCCACGCTTGCTGCTGCCAAGCGACTCTATCTTGAGCTTCACACCAACGCGGGTCTCCAAGTAGGTTGCTAGCTCGGAGTGCATGTCGTCAAAAGTCCAGAAACTTCGACCTGTTTAGCTGCATGTGTCTTTCTACTTCTGCTGGGCACATACCTTCTAGCATCGACATCTTTATGTCATCTGCCAAAGCTTGTCTTGTTCCTGCGGGTGACTTTCGGGATTCGTATCGATTCACCAGCTCCATCCATCCTTCTATCTTGACACTTAGTTCTTCAAGTTTACATCTTCCAGGGGATAGGATGTGGCTCAAAAGGGATGATTTCTTCGCTCCTGTGGGTGGGTCGTATCGTTTGTTGAGTCTTCTCCATGATTCAAAGCCGTTTCCCCTTTCCGTGTTTCGTACTATCATGAAAGGTTCTCCCTCAAGTAGATTCTGCAACACTCCATATACTTGAGATTATTTCTCTTCCAAGTCATCCACTGGCTCGGCCGTGCCTATGCCGAAAGCGGCACGGGCCCGATCCATAGTCACAGTGGAATCTTGGTCTTCTGCCCATGTCAAAACCTTTTCCAACTCGGAGAAATCGGAGAAAATTGACTAGATGAATGACTCCAACTTGATTTTCCAACGCAAGAAGCTTTCGTTGTCCTTTCCTGTGTGCTTTTCAGGTTTTCCTACTCCACGCTTGTCGATCAGTGTCATGATTTTCTTTTCGTCTCTTTTCATCGCATTGGCTAGTTCTGTTTGGGATGTGGCTAGAGCTTGGATTGCGGGTCCAATGGATTGTCCTGCCATTTCAACTCCTTGCGGCCTCGTCTCTAGAGCTGCTTCTCTATCTCGCGATTCCTGCAACATCTGTCCTAGCTGCATCAACCTTTGATTCATTTCCTGAATCTGCTGTTCAGTCGCCATCGGGCACACTTCCCAAGGAACCCTGCTGCCGGAGCCACAGCTCGGCTACCACTTTCACAAATAATCTCTAGCAAACACACAGCACGCTTGTTTTCCACATGCTCGCTGTCTTGGACCATCTTGAACCAAAACATATACAGGGGGCGAAATTTCGACAGATATCAAAATATGTTACATATCAATCCGAAATGTCAATGAATCAATCCCAAATATCCCATGATCTCCGTGCCACACCTTTGCCCAAGGGATCCATAGGCGGACGTCTCACCTTGTGTCCTCGAACGGGGGATGCTGCCCCCGAATTGAAAATGAGCCATTTCTGGGTGCAAAAGGAGTTTGCAGAGTGGTGAAAACTGGTTGGTTGAATGTGACATCCACAGCAGCTTCTGTGAGCTTTGGCAAATGCTCCTGAGTCACTGGGGCTTTCAGCTGGCGTCGATTCCTCCAACCTCACCGGTCCAAGTGATACCAAGTGAGTCCAAAACTGCAAATAGTATCATCATACTGGTAATGACACATACATGTATATATATATGTATAGTTATTTATTTATAAATACTGTAATTGTATAATTATATATATACACACCGTATAAAAGTATAATTTACAGTTTTGTGATTATAGATAGGTGGGTGGATGGATAGACAGCTAGATGGATAGATGGATAGGATGGGATAGGATAGGATAAAGGGGGTCCCCTTTTTCGGATCTGGATAGGCCGAGGCATCGACAGGGCACAGAGGTCTTGTCTCAACTCCGAGGGGAGGCCTCGCAGAGGAGGAAAGCCAAGTCGTGGGTGAAAATGTGATGTGCGAAAAAATCTACGTCAGAGTCTTGGGTAGTGATTGCTGCAATGTTTCTTGAGGCTCTACTTCTGGCTTCAAACTTTAGGGTCAGGATCTGTCCTTTGCAAATGAGCATGTGCCTAGGTTCTTGTCATGTTCATGCACGCATGGATACAATTTGATATGTAATACACTTCGGTATGGGTTCAAGTCAAAACTACGTTCTGTGAGTATTATATGATATTATATGTCTTGTCTATACCATGTATTATGTGTTAAACGAGAAAAAATGATATCTATCCAAATTCTTTGGGTCATAGTCTGCAATATGTCTGTATATAAATCTAGGGACAAAACCATTTGAGCTTATTTTGTATCTCCATCTAAACTTGTAGCAAACCCCTGCCCTGCCGTCCGCGTCTCAAAATGGAGGGACTAGATGGGAATTGGATCTTCATCTCCTAATGTTCGGGTATATTGAATTCGATGCATCACAAAATTTAGTATAGGGCTCATATATGGTAGATAAAGCTTCTACCGTTTTCAAAAGGTAAATCAACTACAAATGGCCATGTTCAATAGCTATGTGGCGCCAAATTTCTGGCCAAATGATGTCCAATGTGCATCCCAGTTGGTATGTGGTTAAAAGCTAGGATATCACCATGTATAACCCATTTAACACAAACAAGAACAAGACGTGTACTCCTCTTATCTATCTATATATATATATACATACACACACATTATATATAATATAAGTAGTATGATCATCATTATTATCATGTTTTACAATTATTCTTGATGTTGGTAAAACAATGTCATAAACCACCCATTTGGGAATGGTAAACATACCACCTATAGAAATGGTGATGACTGGGGGATGGTTTATGGCATTGTTTTAACCACATTACTATAGATAGTATGATCATCATGATTATCATTATTATCACCATTATTATCACCATTATTATCACTATTATATACTATCATGATTATCATTTTCTACCATGAGTATATGAAAATTATATGATGATTGCATATGATCTATAAAAGTCAGTTGGGATGTTGAAATTCCCAATTAATGATGGGAAAATCATAATCCGTTCCATGGTTCCAGTCACCACCAACCAGTGATTATTGCATATGATCACTATTATTCGTATCATTTCTGATGGTAGATATGGAGCCGCGTCCAAGGTCCGAGCCGTCCGCCGTGTCCAAGGCTTTTCTGAAGGCCGCCACCTTTTCCTGAAGACGGCCTACTTTTTGGGCCCTTTTTTGTGGGGATTCAATGGACTTCAACCATGGTTTTCTGGGGATGTCCATGGATTTTAGTGGAACTTCGTGGGAGTTTTTGTGTGGAATTCAATGGAGATTTCAATGGGAATTTCACCTGGATGTCGCGACATTAGCCATGTGGCCATGGATCACAACGCCTTGGGGGATCCAACGGTATACAGAACCAGCTGCCTAGGCATGGAGAACCAGCGCCCCAATCATTGGAAAAGGTCGTGAAAAAACAAAGTGGCGATGACAGAATGAAGAAAGGTGCCAAGGCCAATCAATCAGGGAGATATATAGTCTAAAACTAGGATAACACCAGGGAAAACGTCTTAGAATGGTTACAGCGACTAAACTGCCTGATTGCAAAGCCCAAAACCCTCCCATTAGCAGAGATGCGAAGAGAATGATTTTTAGGTAAGTGTGAACTTGTTTACAGTATGTAAGATCTCCAAAACCTAAAGATCTTGGTCATCATACGTATTGACATGTATTGACTATAAGTGCTATTCCATGTTCTCTGGGCTATGGTCAATTTGGGAGAAACTGCCAGCTACTCTCCAGTTGCAAAACCCAGTTGGACCCACTGAGTCCATCTGAAAAACCATCTGAAAACACCCAAAACCTGGAAAAATGAAAATCCGTGCCGTCAAAAAAATACCCTCTAAACGTTAACAGAAAGCTATTGAAAATTGCCCATAGAAATAGTTTATTTTCCCAATAAAAAATGGTGGATCTTTCCATAGTTATGTTAGCTTACCAGAGGGTGGACAAAACGGTGTCCCCCAAAAATGGTGTCCCATTCCTTGCTATGCTGGAGAAACAAGATCCGCTTCACCGAGAAACTCTTTGGATTTGCAGATGCAGGGACCATTAAAAAAAAATGGTGGATTGACCAATGGAAAATAACCAATGGAAAATTCATCGAAAACAACCAATAGATTCCCCAGTCATGGTGGATTAAGCAATGGAAAATATTCCAATCATCTTCAGCAAGTCCAGGTTTCCACTTGCTAAACTCACCTGAAACCAGCAATTAGGTGGAAAGCGATAATATTTGGGGGGTTCCTAAAATGGGGGTACCCCTAAATCATCCTAAATCATCCATGTTATTTTCGGATTTTCCATTCTAAACGAATTATTTTGGGGGTCCCCCATTCGTGGAACCCCCCATGTGTAGATGATGCCTAGTGGGGAAGAAACAAAACATTGGGGGGGCCCGTATTCAGCACGGTGGAAGACCCCACAGAGCTCCTTGTCCAGCTGTTCTGTGAGTCGCCATGCGGGGCAACCACCTTCGCTCAGCCTGGTGTTTTACATCCCGGCTGGAACCCGGGCCCCCATCATTTTTGTGTGTCTGAAAATGGAACCTCCAAATGGCCATTTGAAACGGGGAATGATGATAATCCATATTAAAATGGGGTCTTACCCTATGACAAACCCAACGCCCCAGATATGTTTTCGGGGGAGACTGGGATAAAGAGGTAGTATAACTGATTTTCTCCCCTTGGCAATGAGTCACCTATGACAGCTTGGAAACACCCCCACAAACATAGGAAGATTTCTTGTTGGGGAAATCGCAGGTTGGTTTGGTACTATCGTAAAGCAATCTGGATTGATACAGTACCTCTTTTTGTTCATCAAGCAACTAGTGAAAAGGATACTTCCAACATCTAACCCATGTCACCACCCTGGCATGCAGATAAGCCGTTCATTCCTCTGTCAAATTCATCACTTTTTTGTGGACTGACCACTATTTGCGACAACCACCGTTTCAAGTATATAACTCAATCCCCCAAAAAAGGAGGGAAATAAGATCCCTGGCAGAAAGTTTCGAGACATCTCACCCGAAAAAAAAAAGGTTGCATGTGGAGTGAATCATCCTTGGGGATCGAACATGATCGAACCACCAAAAGTTGAACCACTGTCAAGTTCATGAGGTAAATCCGATAAACCATCCCCAATTGAGGGTTTATGGCATTAGTTTATATTAGTTTTACCACACTAGTTTGAGCCATACCCCAGGATCACCCGTGTAACTCGCCTGCAGACTTGCCCTTCGACCTCCTGCCAGGTAGAAATCGACATACCTCGAAAAATATCAATGAAAGTCATTGTCCAAGATCAAAACATATCAAAACACGTGGTTTTGTCTGAAAATATGTTACCCTGTATATTTTATATGTATATATATATACATATATACATATATATATACTGTATATATGTATATGTACATATAAAAATACTTATGTAATATATATATATGTGTATATATATATATGTATATATATATGTATATATATATATATGTACATGTATACATATACAGTACAGTATACATGCATATGTGTGTGTGTGTACCCATCCCATCTCCAAGGTTTTTAAAAACCTTCGTTTTCCCCAAGGGACTCGTCAGCCAGTCCCCCAACCTGACCTGACCCTGGCCGGTAACTCCGCCGTTCATGGCCTTCGCTGTGAGCCCGGGGGACCTGAGGGAACTCAAAGGCAGCGTTGGTCTTGGCTCATGTTATTGGATTAAATCCACAATAACCTATGGTTTCATGGATTTTATGTTTATGATATATGATATTGGTGACCCATATATGGATCGGTCCATAGGTTAACATATCGTATATATTTATTTGTTTGTTTATTTATTCTTTTAACTTATATAAATACCAATCCCATACGCTTTAATGTTATTAATGCTATTGGGGATTGCTGTTAACTAGTTATCGAAGGAACTTTAGATGTCAAACTTCCGACAAGATGGACAGATGGAAAAGCATAGGTGGTAAGAGTCAGAGAAGAAGAGAGAAGATCAGAGAAGAGAAAGAGTCAGAAGAAAGAAGATGCAGGTGCGCGAAAAAGTAGAAAAGTCGCGATTCACCGTATTTGTCCAATGATTTGTGGTTCCGGGGGGTCGAAAAGTAGGCTCGCTAAAGCGGCGGGTGCGGAGCCATCTGGCCGGATGAGAGATGAAAAATTGCAAGCCGCTGTGACGCGAAGCACATTTCGAAGTTAAAATGCACAAAACACCACATTGTCGCGCCACTTTTGGAAGTCGAGATGTTGAAAAAGTGCACGCCGTTATTGCGCGAAGCACATTTCGAAGTTAAAATGCACAAAACACACCATGTTCGGGCCACTTTTGGAAGTGGAGATGTTGAAAAAGTGCACGCCGTTGTGGCGCGAAGCACATTTCGAAGTCAAAATGTACAAAATACACCGTGCTCGGACCACTTTTGGAAGTTGAGATGTCGAAAAAGTGCACGCCGTTGTGGCGCGAAGCGCATTTCGAAGTCAAAAGTGCAAAAAACTGGGATTTTGGAGCACTTTTGGACGTTCGATGTCGTTTTGCGCGGCAGGCGCAAGGGATTGTGCGCCTTGTCAAAAGTGAGCAAAACGTAAGGGTTTTGTAGCATTTCTCAAAACGATGGCAGGCGTGGGACATTTGAAGAGGATCTGCAAAGATGCATTTTCCCTGGCAGGCGCAGTACAAGAGACATGTTC